CAAAACAATTTTTTTGTTACGTTTGGTACATATAATTTTTAAAAGTGATTCTAATTTACTAAACAATAGGTTTATAGCATTATTTTTTGGGACTCTGTATATGCATACAATGATTATGTTACTCTTAATAATTTCGATGGCACAGCATTCCAGTATCCCAGGCAATGATAATTTTGCTATTTCTTCTAAGTGTCGCCATTCGAGCCCTTTTTTTTATTAGTATGCATGCCCCACCGCGCCTGCTATCTTGTCTACTATATATTGCAGCCAGATTATAATTAAGCAGAGTGAGATATTTTTCTAATCCTGACATGATGAAGTGTTCCTTTATGAATATTACATCAACATTAATTTTATGTATTTCTTCAAGTTCTTGTAAACATACAGCTAGGGCATCAGATTTATTCAATAATCCTGCTATATTCTGGTGCATTATGGGTAATTTTTCCTCACAGAAAAAACTTCATGTCGCTTCTGACATGATCATTACTCTCAGATGACGTAGGGGTGTTAGTACCTTCAATTTCATATGCTTGTAAGTCGCGTATCAATGTGTGTAAGCCCTTAAAAACGGCGTATAAGCCACTTTTGTTAATCAATCCGGTCCTCATGTTAAACATGGTATGGTCATAACTTAGATGTAGATTTGTGCCCAGTACGAGCGCATATTCATGAGTTGTTACGTCCAAGTATAACAAATTATTAAAGTGTTCAATTCTCCAGTTGTACATATCTGCTAGGGTGTTACATCTAAAGCTTGGTAGACATATAATTAAATTAGTGTTTGTTATATCTTGTAATGCGCTCCGTAAGGAGTAAATCAGTTCTAAATAGTCATTTGTTGTAGTGAAATCTTCAGAGCTTATAAAAATTACACAGTAGTCTTCCATGGTATAATTGACTAGTTTTGATTTCAAACCACTCAGCAGAGCCGCAGTACCACCGCCGGGCATCAAATAGTGGCAGATATTGTAATCATGGAACTCAGTTCGAGCAATTGATAATAATTTGTTACGTTTACTTGTACTCAGCATCCATATTTTACGCAATTTCATTTTCTCACTACTGTGCATTTCAATGCGCTTGTTCATTTTGCTTTTATTACACTTATTAAACAAAGTTCTATTACAATCAGTATTTACATTGTTATCATTTATTTTTGAAATTCCACTGTTTTCTTGTGATATATTTTTTTATGTTTTGTGATATTTAATTCTTTATTTATTACTTTTTCTGTTCTTTTTGGTGTATTTATTTTAAACTTCGTTGGGCTACTATAGTTAAACCGCCGTAAGCTCTCGTGAAGGCCCTCCTGATGCTTTGCGGGACGCGGGGCGGGTGATGCGCTCGGCTATACATGACACGATGTACTAAGTCGATACCTATCTGCAGATTTATTTGTTTGAGATTTAATCTACACACGATGTAAAAAAAAATCGAATTTATTTCCATGTATTATAATGTTAGTGTATTGTAAGTTTTTATGATTAATTGTAAAATTTAATACTGTAATTTTTTTTTAATAAAATCACCTTATCTTCATCATGTAAGTAAAATAATAAATATTCTTTATTAGAACTTTAACAGTAAAACCTCTGTAAGCCGAACTTCAAGTTTTTAAATCTTTTTGTGACGCAGAGTCGGCAGATTATCCATGTTGCAAAATAATACCGTGTGTAGCAGTCTCAAGAAAAATAACACGTACAGCCATGCTTTCACGTCAGTCACTGCCGGCGGACAGCGACGCACTAGCTAATTGGTTGAATGCACCCCCGCCCCGCGTCCCCCAAACCATCAGGAGGGCCAAGCTTACGGCGGTTTAACTATAATAAGTTTCATAACTCATTTTTTTTATCAGTTCTTCCTTCGATTGTCGAAGTTCATTATTTTCTAACGCGAGCGTTCTTATTTCACTATGGGCACTGTTTAGATCAGCCTGTAATTTACTAATTTCTTGTTTCAACTTCGAAACTTCGTCCTCATCATCCGACACTTCTGGCAAACTATTAGTGGTGCCATCTAGGCGAGATTCATTTGATTGTTGTATACTTACATCATTTGAGTCGGATTTTGTACGTGTGCGCCTGAAAGTTATATTCTCTAGGAAGTTCATCTTCGTAGAAACAATCGCAAAAAGTGTAATTTAGTTGGTGAGATGCGAACCTGCGTCAATTCACACAACGCTTATCAACCCGTTCGCCTATAATGGAGCCCTGGGGGGGGGGAGGGTTGTCTACTCGTCTGTAGATGACCCTAGGTATGTCGGGGCACCAGGGACTTCCTTTCTAGTTTATACCTAGAGTATTCGAGTCCGACATGCCACCGATAGGTGATATCCGAGGGGATTTAGGCACGGAAAAAAAAAAAAAAACCATGACTCATGTGTTAGGAATTTTTGCATTGAGTTTTGCAGGTACCTAACACTTTTAATGATTGTATGTTATTTTTACAGCAATTAACACAATCACTTTCAATTTATGTTTTGTATAAATTATCGATACTTTATATCAGAGTAATAGGTGATATTCTATAATAGTATCCAATACGCAGAACTTTTTAGTGTTTTCATTATACTGTTAAACTTTATTAATAACGGTTCTTGAAGTTATTCACAATAATGTATTTTTTATTGTTCCTATTTATGCACTACATTTATTTTATTGTTCTTAGGCGTGAAGTTAGGCAAATTAAAGACTTATTATTGTTTTCACTGGAGTTCATTCTGCACAGTGTTGATCACTTTTAATTAGTAAGTTCTTGTTATATATACTTGCTAACACTGACACTGCACCTTTGGGCTATATTTAGCATTTTTACATTGGATTTATTTTTATATTCTTACTTTTATTATTTTTAAAATAATGCAAAATACGGAACTCTCTTTAGGTAAACTTTACCAGATGGTGGCGCCATCTGTTTTTAAAATTCGTACTTCACGCAACAAAAATATATACGAAAATGTCAAGATTTTTTTAATAAGTAAATGAAACAATCATTTCGTCATGATACGATCATGACGAAATGATTGTTTCATTATACTACATTGTCTAAGATACTACATTGTCTAAGATTTTCTAAGCTACACTATTATATCTTGACATGCATAATGTAGAATAAATCGGTTTAGCCTAGAACAAATTTAGTTTGGTACGAAATCGGGTTTGACTTTTGACAAAGTATTGTGTAGTAGTGTAGTAGGTAAATTTCAGATGAAAAACTTTGAGATATCTAAAATTACTTAAAGTAGCGGCACACTATGAGGGCTGTTTTGATACGTTAAAGTACAGCAATTAGACGGAGGTCAATGTAGGTATTAATTAAATATGAAACTTGACGAATACAATAAAGTACAGCAATGTGCTCCTTCAACCTAGTTATTAATTAATACGAAACTTGATGAGTTGACAGACGTCAAAATTGTCATCATAGCGCGCCGCTACTTTCGTTTAAGATGTCCAACGATTGTTGATCGCAAGGGTGGAAATAGATTAGCGTGTTTTTTTTTATTAGAGACTTAGTCTGTTTCTTTTGACATTTAGGATCCATTAATGAATTGAAAAAGAGCGTTCAACATCTGAAGACGTTAATGGTGCAAAATTTATAATTTATTTGTTAATTTTTTTATTCATTTGGCATAGTGGTTTGTGTGCTGCTATTCCAAACGTCGCGGGTTCGATTCCCGCTCAAGTCAAACATTTGTGTGCATGAACATTTAATGTTTAACTTGGTCTGGGTGTTTCTATGTATAAAATGTATGTATTTACAAAAAAGTATATATGTATTTATATCAGTTGTCTAGTACCCATAGTACAAGCTCTGCTTAGTTTGGGACTAGATGGCGTGGTGTGAATGTGGTAAAATATATTATATTATTTTATTATTATTATTTATTTATATATTCATTGCCCACCGAGTAACAAAACTCATAGTCTTCATGTCATGTAGTATACATACATATATAGTATTACTTTATGTCATGTTTTTTTTTTGTATGGTATAAGGGGGCAAACGAGCAGACTAGTCACCTGATGGTAAGCAACCATGGAAACCTGCAACTCAAAAGTCACAAGTGCGTTGCTGCCCTTGGAGTCCCTCCCGCTCGAGTCAGCGGAGGGGGGATTTGGGCTCCGGTAACCTCACTCACTCAGTGAAAGGCAACGAAAAATCATCATGGTCATGGTCATCTATTTCGAGCCTAAAGTATGCCTTATTAATTCTAAAAAATGCACGCTTTTGACATTTAGTAAATAGATACTCATTTGAAATTGCAGTCATTATATTTTAATTTCAATTTTGTTTTATTCGTTAGAATATGGCACTAAATAAATACATTTATCGTTTACTTATACAGAAGGCTCACGTTTTATACAAATGTTTTATTTTTGTTTTTTTTCTAAAAGACAACTCCCGCACTAGGAATATATCCTGTCTCGCGGGGGACTTTACAAACATATATGAAATAGACACGAAGAACACCCAGACTCAGAACAACAATTTGTGGATCACACAAAGTGTCGTCCCATGTGGGAATCGGAGCCACAACACTCAGCGTAGTAGTGAGCGGCGTGGCGAGCGCTTAAACCACTACGCCATCCGTGCAGTTTACAAACATAAACATCATCTAACGTGTACGTCAAAGTGCCAATTAGCACGCACAACAACACTAATTAAAATAATTGGTTACTTATCACTAAAAGTCTATTAGAGCGCGACGGATGTTTTCTGTTCAACTATACCTGTGCTGGATATTTTTTTTTTGGAATTCAATAACTATGATAACACACGATACCGATGTGAATATAAAGACATTAAGTGACTGATCGCGTTTGAGCTAGTTACAAGTTATACTGATCAGAATTAATAGGATAGGACCATCTGATACTATCGTCGTCATCTTCGTCGTATAGTTATAGTTAGACACGTGTATTGACGTCTTTGTCATGAAAATGTTTCATTTAGTTTATCGAGATTAAATGGAATATACATAACCGAATACATACCCTAATACTTTGCTGCTGTGCCACTTCGATAAACCCGTGGATATACAGCACTGTGGGGCTGTCCTTATCGAAACCTTGAATTTCGAACAATTGACTGGCTTGGCTAAGAGGTATATCAACGTAATCATCTGCGGTTTTCCTGGGAAGAACAAATAAATTTCATACACGTATCAAAATATATCGAATAGCATGTATTTTAATAATAATTATAGTAATTATATTTTTATATATAAACGAACAAAATGGAGCTATGCACCCTGTACCTTTACTTATTATAAGAATTAGCAAAGCCTACTTCACAAGTATGCAAACAAAGATTTTAATATTACGTAAATGTTTGCAGTGTATTTTTTTCTTTCAATCACAAATTGTGTTATATAATAAAAAACGTAGGTTTACTCTGTTCTCTCTCTCACTTATCGCGTGACAAATAACAATGCGATGAGTTTTCCAATCAATAATCCATTATCCTTTATCATCTCTGATCTGAAATTCAATAGTATTTTGACTCTTGAAAACTGTTTTTTTTTTAAATAGAAAATTGCATAACTGGTTGTGCTATGGATGAGGATGTTCGAATTGCATTCCTGACCGCACGACTACTTATGCTTGCTAGTTGGTAAGTGGGGAAGGAGGGGGTGTTTTGTGTGTTATTTAATACTAGCCGACCCGTGTAACTTCATCTGCGTCTATCAAAAGGAGTATATTTTCCCTGTTTTTGCAACCTTTTTCATTGATTATGAAAACCAAAAACCAAATTCATACTTCCATACTAATATTATAAATGCGAAAGTGTGTCTGGCTGTCTGTCTGTTACCTCTGCACACTTAAACCGAACCGAACCGCTTAAACTGAAATTTGGTATAGAAAGTTTATATCCATAAAATCATCTTTTAAGGAGGTGAAAAGGGGTGAACCGATTTAGATTAAATTTAGTATGGATATACTTTGATTCGTGAGGAAAGACAGTCATTTTCACCGCGATAACCACCATTTACGCGGGCGGAGCCGCAAGCAAAATCTAGTATATTATATTTTCAATCGGGGGTACAAACATACATATTATTATTCCAAAGATATATGCACACAGCTGCAAAACTTTTGCTGACTTTGCATATGCTGTGAAATATTTAGGTGTCATTATTGACACAAATTGTAATTTCCGTGAACACGTTGATTTATTATGCACAAGAGTACGTAAATTAATATATATATATGCAAGAGTACTTCCTAAAATTAGCGCGTTCAACCAAACAAACTCTTTATCGATAGCCTTTTATAGGCCATTGCTGGACATAGGCCTCTCTTTAGTAATACCATGCTGGCCAGACGGGTTGGCACAGGGTGTTTCAAGTTTCTCTTCTCTTTGCAGTGCTGTTATCCTGCAGAGTTTGCTCCCTTAGACGTCTCTTACGTCACCCACGGGATAAATAGGGGTAGTGACAGTCCGTATTCTTAATCCGTCACCACACAGACAAACTTTTCACCTTTAAAATATTAGTATAGCTAATATTAGTATAGGTTTATATATATAATAATCATTGGTATGCATATATGTACCGAGTTACGTATACTTGTATAATGCTTACCCATTGTAATATCTTAAATAGATGTCTTCTATTCTATTTGATCTATCTGGCAAGATTCCTGAAATTAAAAATAATTCAATTAATAATTATAAAATGATAAGAACTTATTAAGTATAATAACTTCACGCATCACACAAACCCATAAATATTCTTATTATACACCTATTGGTCACCTTAACAATCGAAATTATATTTCACTATTATTATGTGAAATATATAGCTAAGTATGCATTCTTGGGGTCACTTTTAGTCTCTTTTGTAGTAGGTTTTTACTATTGTTTTTTTTGTTCCTAAAGAGGATTTTTTTATTTATTGGTACAAATGCATTAAATTTTATTTTGTAATCATAGTAAAAGAACAATTAGATAACAATGCTTTATTTGACGGTTAATATTATATGATAATTTGAAAAAGAAAAGTGTCCATCAATCTGAAAAAGTCATTGCGATTTTTTTGGTGTTGAAATAAAATAAAATGACATTTAAGAAGACTATTTTAGTACCTGTGTTAATCTCACCGTCTCACTAACAGTCTTTTTTGTTTTTTTTTAATAAGAACATTTATGGGTGTGTGTGATGCGTGAAGTTATTATTAGTCTATATTTCGTATATGAGGATAGATGGTATTTTTGCACTCTAATAATACCTATTTAAGTACCTTATAATCATAATTTCATATTAAATTAGCAGTACTGATGCCAAAAAAAACTTCGCGTGCAATTGTATAAACAATCATTTTTAATTGTATCAGACTGTACCATATTATTAAAAATACACATTCTAACGAAATGCTTTTATTCACTTCAAAGAGATTTAATTTAAGACAATTTTGAAATCTTAATATTGATTCCTTTTTTTTATTGAGATAAAATTAAAGAGGTCATATAATAAAAAATAAAATAAAATAGAAAGTGATTGCCATAAATTTGATATTGTAATTTTTTTGATATTCGTATGACTGTTTATAATCCAATATGTACACAGAATGATAATCCCAAGCTTAGCAATTTGGATCAATTTCATACAAGCTGAGACTATTTCCGTAATAATGCCTATAAATAACATAAAACCTCGTGTTTCTTTTTTAAAATATATATTAGAAATTAACTTTTGTAATGATATAGACGATTGGAGACGAATATCTTAAGTAAGTTGGCGAAGCTCACCAAAAAATGTGTGCGTATGATTATTTTTCATTTCAAATCTTTACATAGTATAAAATAAAGTCGCTTTTTCTTGTTGTACGCTTAGATATTTTAAAATAAGCAACAGATTTTGTTGCGGTTTTCACCAATAGAGAGAGTGATTTAAGAGGAAGGTTTACATGTATAATACATGCATATTATGGTAGAGAATAGCCGAGAATTTCGATGATTTGTCTTAAAAACATGGTTACACTGCAAACGCTGACTAATCATTACGAGATAAACCAAAATAAAGTACTATGGAATTGTAAATTTTAAAAAGATCTACAAAAATGGTATATGTCTATCTCCTAAGGATAACCCACAGTAACCATTTTTATCTTTTAAATATTAAAAAAAAAATGGGTTATTTACGAATCTACTCGTAATTTAAACAATACATTAATATTCCTTATTCAATTAAATACATTAGTTACGTTGTGCATGTTATGTAGATTAAAATTGCTCTTTACAGCATATAATTAAAATTCAGGGGCAAAGCGGCCGTCGCGGCTTCAGGCCGTACGTCCGTCGCGGGTAGCAGTGGCCGACAGGATCGGAGAGGGCCTATAAATATTGCATACAAAGATGACCTGTAGTATAGTCCTATCATAATAATAGCATAATTAATTACTCCACACTGACACTATATTAAAAGTATTAGTAGTATCTACATTGCACACGTGCGAAGTCGGGGCGGATCGCTGTAATAATTTGTTGAAATATTGGCACGCAATTGGCCTAAAAGAAAACAACTGTACCGGGGTTTAATATGTAGGTACCAGTGTAACCATTGTACGAGTAATTAGTTATGAGGAATAAACTGTGTACGTTTTGCAATATATGGCTTCGTTGAAAAAAATGATGTTTTTATTCACTTCAATTTAAGACTATTTTGAAATCTTAATATTGATTCCTTTTTTTTTCTCGTTCTTAAGCAGGACATTTAAATTGAATGATGATAGAGCTTTTTATCATATCAAAATTTGAGCACAATCGGTGAAGAAATTTTTAAAGCTTCACATTTTTGTATTCCAAAGATTCACAGATTCTTGCGATGGATTACGGAACTAACCTCTTACAACACGGCATCTCGCTGGAGGCGGCGAGCGGCGCGAGTCAAATTTGCAATTCCGTTTTTTTTAAGTTTATAAAAATAGAATTACTGCATTAAAAGTTAACCATAAATAAGAACTTTAAATTCATTACGTGAATTGATGAAATTAATTAAAATGTAAATGAAATTATAATATATGGAAATGCAAATCTGAATCTAGTTGGTTGACATGATTGCAAAATATAAACAAAGTAATTGAAAGTGGTTGCGAAAGAGTAGCATGAGTTATTTTGGGATTTGTTCTTTTCCTTTCGTTATTTCGGCGTATTATATTTGTCAATATAATTATTTATAGATACTGAATTACGAGTGTACATAGTTTATTCCATGATTGCCGGTTACCACGAGGCTTTGATCTTGTTGCTTCGAGTAATATTAGTCCATAAACTTATATTGAAAATGATTTGTTAATTTGAAATTGTTAGATCATTTTGATCTTTACAGGGTGGATAGAAAGTGCAATTTTAAGAGTATTTGAATAATATATTTAATTTTAACTGTTTAATCTTAAATTAACAACAATTTCTTTTTCTTTTTTGTTTTCTAATTTTTTTATGACAACTCCCGCACTACCAATATGTCCTGTGTCGAGGGGGGCTTTACATAAATTCATGAAACGGACAGAAGAACACCCAGACAATTTGTGGATCACACAAGGTGTTGTCCCATGTGGGAATCTAACCCACAACACTCAGCGCAATAGGGAGCGGCGAGATGACCGTTAACCACTACGCCATCCGTGCAGTCAAAACAAAGTAAAGATAATTTATCTTACATATGTTTATTTATTTTAGCCTGTTTAGACTTAAAATACTTAAAAACTTTTTTAAATCATTAATTCAAAACAATCTAATTACAATTTCAACCATTTTTTTTGTGATGTTTATATTATAGCAATTTTCTTAAAAAAAATGTGTTGAATTTCTGAAAAAAAATGGCTGTAGTAATAATATATTCTAAATAATATATATTCTGGAAAGTTTTAATATAGAAATAATACATTCACTTTTTATTTTTACGTAATAATTAATATTAAAAATATACAAAAATATTATGCGTTTTATTTAACTCATATATCAACACAGAATTGAATGATTCTTTTGATATTTGATAATAATTTACAGATTCGCAATCAGTCACACATATGTATGAAGGCAGTCCCTTTATATTTAATACTAGATGAACCCTGATTAGATAAAGAAAACTTTGAAGCAGTTTGCACATCGTGTCAAAATTTTAACTTAATCGGTGCAGAACTTTTTGAGTTTTTGACAGGCATACAAACCAACTTAACATATTTATATTTATAGATATTTTCAACAGCCTCTAACAGTCCACTGCTGGACATAGGCCTCTACATAGAAAGGAGGTTTTGGCCTACAATAGCACTCTGGCCAGACGGGTTGGTATAGGGTTTGTGTCAAGTTTTCTTTCTCTATGAAGTTTTGTTGTCCTGGATAGTTTGTTTTATATTTATAGATATATACATATAGATTAAAAGTTTATTTTGATTTGTTTTTTTATTACTATTGCGTTTCAGGAGAATCGCAGGGGACAATGGCAGGTCCTCTCATACATAATTTTAATTGAACTAAAACTGTTTTAAATGAAAAAAATGCCTACAACACTTGAGAATTTATGCTTGACCATTCTTATAACAAAATTAGTAATGAAAGAAGTCTAAAGATATTGGATTTTGAATGTCTCGAAACATTCATAATCTAACATATTGTGAATCCGACTCTCTAAAAGGGTGGAGGTTATTTGGTTGGCATGTATTGGCAAAACAATAGAAAAAGTCTTCGCTTACCAAGCATATGTAATACTACCTATAAATAAATAAAATAAATAAATAATAATAATTCGAATAAATGTAATTCAATACACATTTACACAAGGCAGAAGCAATTAATTTATTTAGTTACAGCCAGTGCTGTCCAATAATTTACTAACATTAATAACTGAAATCTAAAGCATGCATTCATATGCATGCTTTAGATTTTAGTTATTAATTTTTTAGTTATTGATTAATGGTACATGCGTAATGGTACATTGAGATAAATGCACAACATTTTAGGCGTCACGTCATGCATAATACTGTATGAAATTAAAAATAGAAAAACATCAATACTAAATTAAATAAAAATTAAAAAAAAAAACAAACAATCTACAAATGCCGTGTGAGCAATGGTCCTGTAATTCATGCTTGTGAGTGTGAAACGACAAGACTGTTGGGTGCGGAACTCGACAGGATCCAAACGACGAATTTTTTATTATTTTGAAAATATCGATGCGTCGTCGTGGTATGTGGTATATGGTAGGTATGTGGACAAAGTCTTTTTCTTATCACACTGTGCAGTAATTATTTTTTCCCTCGGAAAATAACGTAACTATATTCTATTTATATAGTGTAGCAAAAATCGTTTCAAAAGAGCCAATAATAATTTAAATTATTTCTAATTATGTTGATTTAGTCACCAGTAGGTGAACCCGTCGGCAGAAGCAAATTAATTATCATTAAAGGTGAATCTTTGGTAGATATTTCTGAGAAAACAATAAAAATCGACTATCGATAGAACGTTTCATAATATAATAATGCCCTCACGCATCCCTAGTCAGTTATACGTGATGGCGAATCTGACATTACGTACTTACTTAGGTCAAATAAAATCTTCAAAAATATCCTATCTCTTATAAGGTAAAGTTGTTTCTGCCATTGTTCTTAAACCCGACAAAGATAACGTTAGTGATAATCTTT